TATAACATTTGATTCTGTGTAACAAATTGATACGGTTATTAAAAAGCGTAGCGGCGAAAGTCAGTATAGCAATTAATTTTTCTATTTAGATCATATTGTAGGAAGTCCAACCGTTAGACTCGAAAAATTAAACGGCCTAAAGAAAAGGTAAAAGAAACCGCCTGCCGGGCACGACCGATCAGCTGGCGGTCACCGAAAAGTAAACAGGCGACAAGTGAACGACCGAGAGAACGAGTGTGAGAGAGAGTGCGAATGACCATTAAAGCGAGAATTAAATATTAGGTGCGATAACCGCAAGTACCGTGTATGTGAGATGTGAGTGAGTGACGGATATATATTAAGAGACATTCAAGACGAAAGGGGAGAGTTTTTGGCGAAGTGACAGCGAGACAGCGAGATAGTGAGAGTACGAGTAAAATATATCATTATTCAAATTACACTGCTGAATTCATTTGATAATCCCACAATATCTTTACAAAATATGTGTTACTGAAGTTTGTTACAGCGTGCACGGTACTGACTAAGAGTGGTTTTTCTTTTTAATTAATCCTTGATTAACCCTTTATGAGTGAGACTGCTTGAACAACGTTATTCTAAAATATTTGTGGAATACGTTTTTAATGTGGTATAGGTAGGTAGTATATGCACTGTATAAGATTTCGTATCATTTTTCCTTTCTAGAAAGGTAGGAGAAAAGTTTTGTTTGATCTTAATCCTTCTTAAGATTTATATAAATCGTTTTAAACATTTTTTACAAATAATGTATATGGATCGAAATAATTATAAAACTATAAGACGCATAATCATCATTGGATTCAAGAGCTGATCACGGTCAAAATCTAATCAGACAACACGAGAAACGAGAATATAAAATTTAAATGTAAAGTTTCATTGAAATTCATTCAGCCGTTTAGACGCAATCATGTTAATAGCATACGTATGTGCGCAAATAGGCACAGAAAAAAATCTCTATTTTTGTACTAGTCACAATATGATCAGGGGGTCTTAAAACGTGTATTTTCGCTAAAAAAATGTTCGAAATTTTTTTTCATTATAATACTTTCCTTATACCTTACATAAGTCGGAATATAAACATACTGGGACAGTTGAGACTTGGAATCGCATGCCGATTATCGCGAGACCGTATTTCAGCTGTTTCTCTTTTACAAGAGCAAGAAGGAAAGGCTCACACTAGCGTTCTTTATCGTTTCCCCGAAATTGCGCGAAGTGCCGAGCTCACGTACACGTGGCTCGTGCGGTAGTATATGCCTGCTATCACCACCACTCCGTTAGACGCTAAGGAAGTTCGTCGTCACTGTTGTCGATTTCGATGCACTCAATTATGCCCGATCTGGCCACACTGCTGCCCAGTGCATTTTTGGCATTTCTGTGTCTAACGTGAACAACACGAGTATGACTCGTATCGACATTTCATCCAAACATGAATATCACGCGTCGAATTCGTAAATATCGATATTTCGTCGATCGACATATCGTGTTTCAAATTCCGACATTCGGTTCCTTTACGATTGTTCGGGCGTATGGGTTAGGCACGGCTTCTTCGGAATTTCAGCGTAGTGCATGAGGTTAGGAAAGCAGCGCTTTTAGCATCATATAATATTGTAGATAACGCATGTTTGGTTTTTTGTTTTGGCTTTGTTGCGGCGTATTTGTTTGATTTGGACTAATGCGATGTGCCGTTCTATCCTCCATATCTGTCCATATCTGTATCGTGATATATGGGATCAATCTATCCCGAAGGTTTGTTAAATTTAATATTCACTTCCATTATACTCGATGCAAATACGTTCGATATCTTATGTACTATACTCTTCTGCCAAATATAAAAAATCAACCAATAACAATTTGGCTACGTTTGAAATATGACTTTACATTCATTCGTTGCTACGCTACCTTCAATACATATTGTTGTGTAAATAAAATCGTTGCTTTACAGGATATTGAGAATGTTGAAAAGCTGATGCTTTTAACTAAGAAGTCCGGATAGAGGAATGGGAGTTTATCGGGGAAGTGAATTGGGCACAAAATTGATTTTCTTTTCGTCGACCGTTTATTTAAATTAAATATGCAAAATAAGAAAATCAATGAATAATAACAACACAAAAATCAATAGTCCTCCGAAACAGATAGAATTAAACTATTTCGGCGCCTCTGGTCGTTTCGCGAGGCCTCGGCCGTTGCTCTCGACACGTTGAGGTAGGCTATGGTTCCTGCGAACAGAAAAACACGGCTATGTGTTAGACACACGTAAACACGTTACACATATATTCGCCGCGTTCGTTTCCTCGCGCTCCTGGCTTCGTATACGAACGTACAGGAGCGGGGAATTTTCCAGTTCGTAATATACGAATTATTTTGTGAACTGTATGTTTTTACAGGTTTAAAAAGGAATTAAACTTCTTTTCTTTGCCGATTTGCGTCGATTGCCTAGTGGACGGGGGCGCAAGTGGAGGTTGTAAGGCTCAAAATGCACTGATCCCGAGAGTATGCCCACGAGTCTGTGCATCGAGTCGCACTGCAGTGCAACGGCACGACCGTCGATCTGCGGCTTCTCTTAACATGTTCCAACAGATGACCTATTGGCCGAGAGTTGCACTGCGAAGCCCGACAGCACGTTGTTCACTGCCACGAATGCACTACTCGATGTGATTCGCAGCAGTATTTGAACTCCGTTACCTCTCCGCACAGGGTGCTCCTCTAAGCGTTACACCGGCGGGATCTGTAGAAGTAAGGAGGCGAAGACCGAAAGTCAGACGTCCTAAGTGGACGTCGACCTGACTACAGTGAGCCCACCCGGAGGTACACCACGTAGGTGCCTCCCTTCTGGTGTCTCCTCAGCTGAACGGCAATCACAAAGAAGTGTAGACGGTATCCGTCGACCTCTTTGTGTTTCTAGCGTGTATACGCTTGAAACGACCGTTCAATTCTGCACAGGGAGGATCGAGCACCTTATAGGTGTATTCTCGAGCCCCCAGAATTTGCAATATTTGAAACTAATTAAGGTTTTGGGTGCACTTGTACGAATCGGAACACGATTCGTTTATCAAGCAAAATGGGAATAAAAATTTCACACTTTTTCGAGCCTTTTGGATTCGCAGCTGTGCGTAGGCTATCGATGGACCCACGCCAAACTAAACGACTGCTCGCTCGTTTACACCCTTTTTTTAATTGTAGTCTATGTGCTTAACTCGAAAGAATATCTTCTTTCGATTCGCACTCGAGTTCTGGACGGACACGATCGGGAGCCGATGTGTCTAGGGCAGAAGTCGGTGTTGGACAGTGTCGATTGACAGCCGAATATCGTCGCCGTGGTACTCTAATTAGTCGCTCCGTGGCGATGTCTAAATTTCTATCTTTGTCACATTACCAACGCGCTATTCTCTCACGGTACTGACGTCAACCAACACCGTTAGCACACTCGAATCGAAGGTAATGAGCCGTTACTGTAGGAGATGAGCGTTCTTCGTCGTGTCGTATCGATCGCAGGGAATGGCTGAGTGAACTGAATGTGTCGACTCTGATTGAATGGTTGAATGTATGAGTTTAATGACCTTAGAGACGGAATGTTTGGAAACGTTAGGAATATTCGAGAAGTAATACCGGATGAGGAACTATGCGAAATGTCAAGAACGTTCTGGAATGATTGAATTACATGAATGTGTCGACTCTAAATGGTTGCATGATTGAATGTATGAGTGCATGACTATGGTAACGCGATATTGATGCGAAACGACGAGAACGTTCTCGAAACTTGACCGGACGTGAAACCGGCAAGTGTTCGGGAGCGGGAGGATAAAAGCGCGAATACGGGAAAGAGAGGGGCTTTTTTGAGAGTGAACGTCGATCACGAAGATTACGCTACGAACGTCTATTACGTTACATGTTACGTTGTGTTTCGATTATAATTAATTTATACGTTGATACGTTGTGTTTTCGATTATAATTAATTTATACGTTGATACGTTGTGTTTTCGATTATAATTAATTTATACGTTGATACGTTGTGTGTCAATTATAATTAATTTATACGTTGATTGTGTTTCTTTCCAATTCGTGCATGTGAATTAAAAAAGGCAGATTTTACACTTCTGATCCTACATCACCGATGCAGAAAAACCAATAATACACGCGTTTTTCTATCACTGCTCGCTGTACAATTCTATTAGAGATAATCTCTTGGTTATTGTACGCTAACAGGATTAACGGTAATTGCGGCCGAGGGTAATCGCTCGGCATTATGCAATCTTTAAACAAAGAAAATTATTGAAAATTGTTCACGTAAACATTGGGGAGATAGGAAAGAAGGCTTAGTCGGACTACAGCATTTTCTTTCAAACGGAAATACGCGTACAGCGACAGAATTACATAAAGTGACTGATATTTTTACCAAGTGTTCATGGACTCTCATACAAAAGTTTTCAGTCTATTTCTGGATACGTTAAACGAATTGGTAACCACTCACAGCGAAGATCTTGGTGATTGGCTGTATGTATTGTGCGCAAGGCTTATGTACAAATTAGGTACGGATTCACTTGGATCAATACCAGCAAGAATTCACAAACACTCGATGTTGTCAGGTGAGACAAAAAATACGAATTTCTGTGTATGCAAGTAATTTGAATCCTCCAAAACTGATAATGATATTAGCCGAGTTACCAACGTATTATCAAGTAAGACTATTTATACAGTGATTCATAAATATAATAGTAAATAAAGATTAGTTTTCTTAAAATATATTTGCACATTAACCAGGAGGCAACGCAGAGTCACCACCTGGTTCGAAAGCCAAAGGTGATATTGACAATACGGATGAGAATTTGAAGGAAGTTTACAAGTAAGTTTGTATATCTTCGATGTAAAGTTCATTTGGTTTATCATTCTTTGTCATTTTAATTTTAAAGTGCTTCCTACAGATCTTGGAGACGTACGACGGCAGAAATTCAGAATTATGGTTTGCGAGCGTGTAGAAAGAGCCACTACCAGCAAAGACAGTGGAATCAGTAATATATGGCCGATGTAGAAGAGAACATGGAAGGTCTCACATTGTGTAATTCGGTAATAAAATAAACAATATAGATACATTTCATTTATAAAATGCAATGTTTGTATTGCGTTTTGGTATTATCAGGGTCGATTGTCTTCCGTTTCTTCGCCTACCCAAAGAGGGCGATCAGTTACAAACATTACGGTAAATGGTTCAACCGATACGATTGCTGGAGATCTAATTTTACCTCAGGAAAATAACGGTTACAAGACGCATGGTATGTTTACCATTTTGTGTTACAGACATTAATTACCATTTTATTTATTCAGTAGTCCATTTAATTTATTCGATATTATTACAGGATCCTCGCCTGATTCGACGAAGAGACAAGAAAGTTTAGAATATTTGATTGAAACATTACAATCGAAGAAGACGCAACCAGAAGAAAAAGTATCAGCTTTGCAAGAGTTTCAGCAATATGTTCGTGAAGGAGACGCCTCGTATATCAAACAAAATTTCAAGTAGGTTCTATTTCATCTTTGTGTATATCGTAACAACAACTACACTGTCCGACAAATTAAAACTTTTTTCAGTCTTCCAATAACCACTGATTCGTGTAGAATTACTGTATCACCCCCCAGTTTTCGAAAAACATGAGTTTTTAGTAAAACCCAAGATTTTCGACAAGAATGAGGTATTACATGAAAAATAAAAACGTTCAAAGGTTTTAATTCGTATTAAAAGATACAGGAGAGTTTCTTGAATATAGTGAAATATAATTTATTCATTGGTTTTGGCCCTATAAATAGTTGCTAAATAAATATCAAAATTTAGAAAAGTGCAAATTTAGGTAGTTTCTTCTCCGCATTATATTTGTATTCTTACCAAAATTTAATTATTTAATACGAAAACTTACCCAAGATTTGAATTCCGTTGATATTTCTAAAGAAAGAACTGTCTATACGGAATGTTGAAACGGTTTTTTTTCAATTCGAACAAATTGCGAAAGTGTAAGATGGCGAGGCGTGCTTGTATGGTATTTTACCGCCAAATGGTCGTCCGCTGTTCACAATTAGTACATACCTGCTAACACACATTCTTGAGGATGAAGCTGAGCAAAGGGTATAGCCGAATAAGGGGTTCAAATGTGCCCTTAAACCAATTTGACATACGATGGATCCATTGATAGGGCATCAGGATCAAACATTCTGTGCCAGTTCAACCCTCCGTCTTGTTCGGAAGGGTAGGTCATAGGGAAAATTCGGATTATCGAATTTGTGCCTGTTTTCCGTATTAACGAGGTACGAAAATATTATGCATAATTGGTGCATTGTGGTTACGACGATACTTGTTCAGAATTTTTCGATTTTTCATCGACAAAGAGCGAGTTCCTAAATTCTAATAATATTATAAATATGTACCGCCTTGAACTCTAGAATGATCGCATTATCCTCTATAGTAGTATAGCTATGGGGATTCTAACCCATGGGGCAATGAGGGGAGCGTGCGGCGAGGGGAAGGTAGGGCGCGCGGGGGAGTGCGGCGCGGAGAACTTTAGGCGCGGGGCCTGTGGGGAGTGGAAGAGTGGTTGCGCGCACACGAGCCGCGGAGTGGGGGATGTCAGGGGATTAGTCCAGGCCGAGCCGCCGCGGAGACCTCTCCAGACCTGGCCCGCCGTCGGAAATTTTTTAAGAGGGGGGGGAATGATCCCCGAAAACTTTTCATACCGAACCGAGGGACGGGGATGACCCCCGAAAATTTTTTTCAACACCCACAGGCATTTTTTTATTGTCTTTTCGGCGTTCTCGGTACGTTTGTTGAGATCTAAAAAAAAAGAATTACATAATGTTCTCCTAAGAAAATATTTACAGCTAGCGAAAAAAAACAACACATCATTCGGCTCGTAAATCTATTCTTTCTATTTATTATTCTAGTACTCGTATAAATTCAGATTTTTATAGTTCACTGTGGTTAGGTTTGGTCAAACTCTTGCAAAACGCGTTATAGAAAATGGTTAATATCATTACGAAACACAAGAAATAAAAAGTTTCATACTGTATACTAAATGCGAAAATTTACTCGAAAAAATTGCAGTTCCTCTTTCATCCAGAGTCGAGTCGAGTCTCGCGCAACGATGCGTTTTCGCGCTTTGTCAGCGAGTACGTTATCTGCTACGTGCCTTTCGACGAAGTCGTTGCTACGCGAATATGCAATATCGTGTTCGCGACACGCTGCGTCCAACGGATTAAAATATAAATTAAATCGACGGTCCAGCCTTAGATTTATGCGAGGAGAGAATGTGGAAGACGGGTAAATAAAATTCGAGAAATAATATATGTTTTAAATGACACTATATTGTTACAATAGAAGAATATATTGTTTTTTGAAACGTCGAATCTTAGAATTATGCGAGGAGATAAGGTGGAAGACGGGTGAAATAAAATTGGAGAAATAATATATGTTTTAAATGATACTATATATTTTTTGTTATGTTTAAAGGAAAAAATACAAAAAATAAATAAATAAAAAAAATCGGATTAAAATATAAATTAAATCGACGGTCCAGCCTTAGATTTATGCGAGGAGAGAATGTGGAAGACGGGTAAATAAAATTCGAGAAATAATATATGTTTTAAATGACACTATATTGTTACATTTTTTTATGCGAGCATCAACTACAATATCATTGATGGCACATCCTAACAGTTCACAATCTACAAGATAATCCTTGGAGTAATATTCACTGTCGCGTATGATTTTAGCAGCACTACGCGTATCTAATGTTTCGGTAATATATTGTTACGTTTTTTCTTACGAGCTTCAATTACAATATCATTGATGGCGCATGCTAACAGTTCGCAATCTACAAGATAATCCCTGCAGTAATATTCGCTGTCACGTATGATTTTAGCAGCACTACGCGTATCTAATGTTTCGATGACAGCATTGCTCTGTTGCAACACGCTAACAAAAGTTATAAATTTTTTCCTCACATCTTCTACAGTTTGATAGAGCCGCGGATATACATAGCTTACACATGGCTCAAGATTAAATAAAAATGCTACTGTATTCGGTTTGAAATACAGCGACTTATTATCAATTGTCATCTTTACAATCGACGAATCAAACATCCGACAAAATTCCACCGTTAATTCATTAATCTGCATCAATGATGATCCAGGCAATTGTGCACGTTCTTCGATGGTTGTACAGCAGTCGAATAGTGAGTTCCATGTATGCCATGGTATTCTAAGATGATTCCCACGATTATCACCGAGAAGAATTTCTACATCGGCTGTAGGTCCTACGCTGATTCCAATTTCCAAATATTTGCAGCCCGTGGATGTTAATGCGTATCTTCTGACCATGACACGCGATGGTTGGCGTGGCCTAAAAAGCATAATCATGAAAATTACCTTTTTTTCATGAAAAAACATAAATAAATAAATAAATAAAAAATTATGAAAGGTTACCTGTTAAATGTATTCTCCTTGCATGGAGATACGCCATCATCTTGCCTGATTGGAACGTAATAGCCCACGGCACTGGTACTACACATTGTTTTTCAGAGCACTATTTGTTCCGTCGAAAATTCAGCGAAGCTACTGAGCGATTGATGGAATAGCGTCCGGAGAGCCGGCTTAAATAGAGGTGCAATCCCCACCACATTTTATTCTAAAGCTACCATTTTTCCCCCCATAATGCTTTTGTTCAATCTTAACATCGCAGCATATCGCGCGATTGCATGTAACTTGGGCCTCCAAGGATAAAAGTCTCGACACGTGTTGAATGTAATATAATATCTGTGGAAGCGCTGAATATTTTATTCTAAAACTACCATTTTTTTTTTTCCATAATGCTTTTGTTCAATCTTAACATCGCAGCATATCGCGCGATTGCATGTAACTTGGGCCTCCAAGGATAAAAGTCTCGACACGTGTTGAATGTAATATAATATCATGGAAAGAATTATGCGATATCAGCAGAAACTGCATAGAACCATGTTGGCATGCAATGCATTTGAGGGAAGGGGAGAGACACCGAAAGAGTTAGGCAGAGATACCAAATCGCTGTGCTGGTATAAAAGCACGCTTTAAACTGCACAAGGCCTCAAATAGTTACAACGTGTTGCATTGAAAAAAAAGGATATTACATTTACATTTACATTTACATTCCATTTACATTCCATTTTACAATCATGGAACAATTCGCACAAGTAGAACGCCAATTGTTGGACCAATCCGAACGATTGATTTCGCAGGAAGAGTACCTCGCGTGGGAAGAACGGTGCAACGAGTGTATCGAATCTTTGGAAGAACACAGCCGCGTGAAACGCCCGCGATTATCGATCGGTGTTCGACAATCGTTGGTTGCTCGAATCGCGCGACTCGAAGGATTGAAACATTTGGTGCGCAGACGTTTCGCGCGTCAAGGTGCCGGACATTCGAGTACGGGACTTTTGTGGCGTGAAATACACACTGCGTTCGATACTCGCGTATTAACAGGTGTCATCCTAAATTCGAATTATATCGAACCGCGCAACTTCCTCCAGGATGCAGAGACCATTGTGCTGGAGCATGTTCGGGACACCTTGAGGAAACATCGAAACCTCAAAGTGAACACGGTGTTCAACGGCGAATTTGTGGCAGGTGACAAGCATGCTTGTAAAAGCATCAACACCCAAAACTGTGAACTCTTCCACACATCCGATCTGCAGGAGTGGTACCAGCGATGCGTCGTCGAATCCACCCTGGCATCGCTGGAAGAGTTCCAGGAACGCGACAGCGGATGGGCATTGGCGAGAATCATGAATCTGACCGTCAATGTCAATAAGTATAATCCACTCCGCGCGGGGTGTCACTTCAAGTTGCCGCGAGAAATCATGCTGAAGAGGGCAACAATAAGCATACAATCCTCGGACAACGCATGTTTCGCGTGGGCAGTTGTCGCAGCTCTTCATCCAGCAACAAAATATCCTGAACGTCCAGGTTCATACCCGCAGTATACGTCGATCCTAAATCTCCAGGGCATTGAGTTCCCAATGTCTCTGGGGTATATTGGGAAGTTTGAACGGCTGAACGACATCTCCGTCAATGTCTACAGCTTCGAGGAGAAGATGAAGAAGGGGCCAACAGTCTTCCCGCTGCACCTCACCAGCCAGAAGAGGGATAGACATGTAAACTTGCTTTACACGCCGAATCAAGAGCACGGCGATGTAGGGCACTTTGCATGCATTAAGGACTTGTCCAGGCTGGTGGGCATGCAGCTGAGCAGGCACAAAGCCAAGAAATTCATCTGCGATCGGTATGTATAAAAAAAAATTTATGAAATGTTTAAAAAATGTTGAAATATATGTGAAATTAAATAAATTTTTTTGGGGTTTACAGATGCATGCACTACTTCGGATCTACCGAGAAGTTGGAGGTGCATTCGCTGGACTGCGGGCAGATAAACAACTGCGCCATTCTGCTGCCCAGCGAAGGCGACAATCTGCTCAATTTCAGCAACCACGATAGGAAGGAGCGGCTCCCTTTCGTGGTATATGCAGATCTGGAGTGCATCATCGCAAAAACGTTGGACAACCAAGCGGGTGATAATAAATTACATACATATCAACACCACAATGTACACAGCATTGCATATTATATGCATTGTTCATATGATACATCACTGTCGATGTATCGATGTCGCCGCGACACAGATTGTGTTTCATGGTTCGTCGACGAACTTAAAAATTTTGCAAACTTTGCCAAACCTATTCTTACCAGTAATGTTCCCATGCTGGATTTAACTCCCGAACAGTTGACGACATTTCGCAATGCAGCACATTGTCATATTTGCGAAGAACCATTCAAGGCTAGCGATGTACGAGTTCGCGATCATTGCCATCTGTCCGGACGGTTCAGAGGCCCAGCACATTCGGAGTGCAATTTAAATTATAAAAATGTGTTTTACATCCCCATAGTTTTCCATAATTTATCCGGCTATGATTCGCATTTCATTATCGAGGAAATAGCTACCGCTTTCGAAGGTCACATTGATGTATTACCTATAACTAAAGAAAAATATATTTCTTTCACAAAACATGTTGAAGATACGGATGAATCAGACTCGCAAAATTATATTAAATTACGATTCATCGATTCATACAAATTTCTAAATACCAGTCTCGACAAATTAGCATCTTTTCTTAACACAGATCAATTAAAAATTTTGCGATCCCAATTTGGAACATTATCCACTGAAGATTTCAATTTATTGACGCGAAAGGGTGTCTTTCCATATGAATACCTTGATTGCGCGAACAAGCTGCAGGATCCATGCTTACCACCGCGCGAGTCATTCTACAGTTCGTTAACGGGCGAGACTGTATCAGAGACCGATTACGCACACGCCGAGACAGTCTGGCAGCGTTTCGAGATTAGAACCTTGGGCGAATACAGCGATTTGTATTTGAAAACTGATGTCTTGTTATTGGCAGATATTTTTGAAAATTTTCGCGAAAGTTGTATCAAGAGCTACGGATTAGATTCAGCGCATTACTATACTCTACCTGGTTTCACATGGGATGCAATGCTAAAACATACCAAAATTACATTCGAATTGCTCACAGACATCGATATGGTCATGTTTATCGAACGCGGTATACGCGGGGGCTTAAGTCAATGTTCCGGAAGATACGCACATGCCAATAACAAGTACATGTCATCTTACGACGCATCGGAAGAGTCATCGTACTTGATGTACTTTGACGTGAACAATTTGTATGGATGGGCAATGTGTCAGCCTCTACCATACGCTAAATTTCAATGGGTCGAAGATGTTGTAAATTTTGACGTATCTTCAATCGGCGTCGATTCGCCCACGGGATACATTCTCGAGGTAGATCTGGAATATCCGCAACGTCTGCACGATGCTCATGCAGATCTGCCGTTCTGTCCGACGCGTGCCAAACCACCTGGCAGCAGGCAGGACAAGTTACTCGCGACGGTATACGATAAGCAGCGTTACATAATCCATTATCGCAACCTGCAGCAGTGCACGCGTCACGGTCTTCGTATTACAAAGATACACCGCGTGCTTCAATTCGCTCAATCTCCCTGGCTTCGCGATTACATCGAACTCAACACACGATTTAGAACAAGCGCGACAAACGACTTTGAAAAGAATTTGTACAAATTGATGAACAACGCAGTATTCGGTAAAACTATGGAAAATGTACGAAACCATGTGGATGTAAAACTTGTGACACATTGGGAAGGGCGATATGGCGCGGAGGCAATGATCGCGAAACCGAATTTCCACAGCAGAAGTGTTTTTTCGGAAAATTTAGTAGCTGTTGAATTGCGAAAACTCGAGGTGAAATTCAACAAACCGATATACGTGGGTATGTGCATTCTGGACATATCAAAACTTTGTTTGTATGAATTTCACCACGAGTACATGTCTCCTAAACACGGGCAAAATTGTAAAATTCTATACACCGACACTGACAGTCTTATTTATCACATTCGGTGCGACGATATCTACGAGTCTATGAAGCACAATATCGATAGATTCGACACAAGCGATTATCCTACCGACAATCCATATAATATGCCACGCGTAAATAAGAAGGTTCCGGGGCTGATGAAGGATGAAAATAACGGTGCGATAATGACTGAATTCATAGGTCTTAGAGCGAAAATGTATGCACTTCGCGTAGACGGCAAAAAAGATACGAAGAAGGCGAAAGGCGTCAAGACCAACGTCATAGCCAGAACGATAACTTTCGTCGACTACGCGCAGTGTTTGCGCAAAGAGATCGAAATGGTTCGCAGACAATCATGCATACGGTCTAAATTGCACAAAGTGTACACCATTTCGGAATCCAAAATCGCTCTAAGTCCGTATGACGACAAGCGATATATCGTACCCGATTCGACCGACACTCTGCCCTGGGGACATTATAATATACCGTTGTAAAATAGAAATTATTATTATTGTATTTATTATAAATAGTGGAATTTATTGTATAATATAAAATTGTTTACAAATTGTCCGCAAATGTATAGAAATTAGTATTTATTAACTCATTCATATAAATAGTGGGATTAATGTGTAAAATAAAAGTCGCCACTCATGTATATGTATATGCATCATTGTATTTTATTGAACCATGTATTATTTTACAATACATTATTTTTATTTATCCAAGAATTGTGTGATTTATCAAAGCCCAACCACTTGACATACACCTTATCCCCCTTTCTACGCAACACTTTTTCCACTAGATGCACATCAGGATCTGTGACGCGTTGCAGCTCATGTTCGTAGAATCCTCCGGCAACAGGTTTTCCAAAGGAATCGAGGAGCAGATACGTCGCGGGATTAGTTGCCTGTACTTTGGCTATTTTAAACACCTCCGTTGTCCAATTCGGTGTATAGCCTTTATCGAAGATGGTTTTAAATTTGCTCACGCGCACAAACTCGCCCAATTTGAATCTCGCTGGAGCAGCGATCTTTATGTTGCTGTATACTGTAGCTAGCAGCTTATCGGCGATCGCAGGGGTAACATCGCAAGGACGCATTCCGATGGTTCTATGTTTTCGTGCGTTATACTCTGCAAGTAGACGCGGTAGTGCATCAGCCCATTTATAGGTTCCATTGAGCGTAAACAGTTTCCACATATTGTTCTTCAAAGTTCGATTGAAACGTTCTACGACGGAGGCCTTCATCACCGAATACGTCGAATAATGATTAATGCCATGCTTTGTCATGAGTTTCTGCACATCAACGTTGTAAAATTCTTTTCCTTGATCGGTTTGCAAATTTTTCGGATGTCGATCTCTAAATATCTTTGCAAACGCTTTAGTCACCTCAGCACCACCTTTAGTCTTGAGCGGTACCGCCCATGCATACTTGCTCAGCACATCGATGACCGTGAGTATATAGTGATGACCTCGGTTGAATCGCGAGTATGGACGCATTTCTACAACGTCAGCTTGCCACAGATCATCGTATCCATGCACTATGACGTGTCTCCGCGGGAAATGTCTTCGAGCTGGAGCATGCAATTCCTCAACAAGTTGTCGCTTCTTGAGACTATGGCTTTCATTACTCTCGGATTTCGATATTGGTTGCATGTTTGATCGCAGAGATGTCTTTGACACGAATGATGCGATAATTATCGTGTACATACATTATGTGCTCCCCATCGGCTCGAGGAAATTCTGGTCAAGTTCAACCGTCTCGCATGATTTTCCTTCGCATTGTCGCTGCGGATTCAATGCGCGTGATATCTCTTGAACGCTGTTTTGCAACGTCAACATATCTCTCTGAAACATGACCAGCTTCCTCTCCAATTCTTCATGCTGCTCTCTCAAAAGTTTAATGCTCTTTTCCACATATAGTTTATTAACGGCATCGCTGTCAACTGTCGGCTGAGCTACGCGTCGTATCTTGCGTGATTTTGCATCAAAGTCGGCACCTGCCACGCAAAGAGCATTGTCTCGCATATAATTTCGAAGCAAACCGCTCCATTTGTAATAGTCCATTCCAGCTGCTCCGCTCTTCTCGAGCGATACTCCAAATTTATTGATCGGCATCTCAACGCATACAGTGCACATCATCGGTGCGCGGTTTAATTTATAATGAGGCCTACCTCGCGGAGTTCCTCGATAATCGATAGAATTTCATGGCCATGCGAGTTGTTACCCGCCTGACGCGACGCTTCCAACAAACGGAGTCGATCCACCAGCTCGTTGGGATCGTCCCAGTGCACGTAATCGATCTTGTTATCATTTACCGTCATGACTCGCGGAACCGGCAGGCCTTTCCCTGCCTTACTGGTCGATATACGGGGTAGTAGCGGTGCAATTACATGTTTATACTTGTATCCCTTGTTACCCATTACGGGATTTTGGGCGTTATGACCACGTCTGTGAGCATTTGTTGTCAGTAGTATACTTTTGTATTTTTGTCTATCGGCATCTGTGTATATGGCATCGTCGGGAAGTCTCTTGAAAATCAGTTCGTAAAGGCCTGACGTTCCTCCGTATTTTACACCATCTATGAT